AAATAAAAATGTTTAAATTTCAGTATAAAAAGAGTCAAGAAACTTGATGTTTGGCTAACTGTTTTATGGACACCTTTTGGTGTTTTTTTAGGATTTAACTTGCACTAATTTGTTTCTTTTCAGAAACAAGACTCTTCCCCCAATGCCGTGTACAGTCTTCATGCTTTATGTGAGAGCAGCAGTCGTTCATATGTGGCAGCCATATTTTTCTGCCTGCTGGTCTTGAGGAAACAACAAATCCTCAATCTGCACCAGAGCGCCCCATACAGTGACATCATCGCCACACCTGGGCCTCTCTTTTCTTCCTTTTAGAACAGGTAGCCATGAAGCACTGGAGGGAAAACCTTTAGAGATGTTATAGCTCATTAAAGGGCTTTGCTGTTTCATACATGTTCTTGGTTGGAAGCAAACTTTATGGATTTCTGTAAAAATTTAGACAATGTGTTATAAATTCCTATGGAGACCTGCTAAAAATGTGTCTAAGCTATGAAATGTGTCTGTATAGTGTTATACTGTTTCTAAAAAAAAACTAATATATATGTAGTACTCAGATCTGTATGAGCTGGGCTGTAGGTGAAAAGTACCGTAGAGCAGCTCACAACACAGTGGATGGTCTACATATAAAACTGTCATTAATATGATTGTTTCAGTTTAACCAATTTCATGAACTAAATTAACTTAAATCCTTGTTCATTACTTGAAGTGAGTTGGCATGGATTGAAACTCAAGCCTGAGTTGGTATTTGTCTTTTTGTCCTACAGTTTAATGTAATAATTGTTATGTTCCAAAAACAGTTCTGCTCTGTGTTGATTATTATGATCTGTATGATCTTTTTACCCAATTCTTGAGACCATTAAATGTACAAATCAAATAAAACTTCAAAAAATAATCATTTATTTTGTTCCAAACATACTTTCACAAACTCTAAAGGAAAAGTTTTGCAGGATGTCCTGGGTGCTCTTGTAAATGTGTGAATAGGGACTGGTGCTATATTGAGCTCTGACAAAATTAGCATAAGAATAACTTTCATATTTTTAGTAGTATTTCAAGATGAACATTTACTGGACTGAAGCAGTTTAGATTGACTTGATTGTCCATAAAAAATTTTTTTCATGGTCTTGTTAAAATATGAATATCTAACATGATCAATCAAGCTAAGGAATGTTTATTTGTTCATCTCTCAATCATCATTAAACTGCATAATACGTTTTGCTTGCACAATGAAAAATACAGAGCTTTGATCATAAAACTAAGTGTTTCAATATGATTTGCTTAGACATATTATTGGGAGATATAGAATGACAGTTGATATTTACAGTCAGGTCTGGAAGTATTCGGACACTGACTGAGTTTTTGTGCTTTTGCCTTTATACACCACTACAATGGATTTGAAATAAAACAAGATGTGATCGAAGTGCAGACTTTTAGCTTTATTTTAAGAGGTTCCACAAAAATATGGCATTTACCATTTAGGTGTTACAGCCATCTTAGATTTTCAGGGGCTCAATACTATTTGGACAGTTGACTAAGAAGAGGTTAATTGACCAGGTGCTGTCCATTTCCTCATTACTTCAAGACAAATTAAGCAGATAAAAGATCTGGAGTTGATATGAGGTATCAAATTGGCATTTGGAAGTTGTTTGATGGTGCTACCAATATAAAGTTCAAGAAGATCTCAATGAACGTGAAGAAGGCCATCATTAAGTTGAAAAAAACAACATAAATCTGTAAGTGAGATAACAGATCAACGGTTGGCTACATTCTTAAGAAGAAAGCAAGGAGTGGTGAGCTCAACAACATCAAAAGGCCTGGACGACAACTAAAGTGGATGATTGCAGAATCCTTTCCTTGGTGAAGAAAAACCCCTTCATAACATCAACAGAAATCAAGAATACTCTGGAGGAGGTGGGCACATCATTGTCAAAATCTACAATCAAGAGACGCCTCCATGAATGTAAATACAGAGGGTTTGCAACAAGATGCAAACCACTGGTAACATTCAAGAACAGGAAAGCGAGATTAGACTTTTCCAGAAAACATCTACAAAAGCCTCCCATGTTCTGGAATAAGATTCTTTGGACTGATGAAACCAAGATGAACTTGTACCAAACTGATGGGATGAGAAAAGTATGGCGAAAGACAGGAACAGCTCACGATCCAAAGCACACCACATCAAGTGTCAATCATGGTGACAGTGTTATGGCATGGGCATGTACGTATAGCAATGGAACGTGCTCACTGGTGTTTATGGATGATGTAACTGCTGACAGAAGTAGCAGGGTGAATTCTGAGGTCTTTAAGGCTATACACTCTGCTCGCATTCAACCAAATGCTACAAAACTGATAGGACGCAGCTTCACAGTGCAGATGGATAATGACCCTAAACATACTGCAAAAGCAACTCAAGACTTTTTGAAGGCAAAGAAATTGAATATTCTTCAGTGGCCAAGACAGTCACCTGATCTCAATCCAATAAAGCATGCTTTTCAGTTACTGAAGACACGACTGAAGGCAGAAAGGCCCACAAACAAGCAGCAACTCAAGGTGGCTGCAGTGTAGACCTGGCAAAGCATCTCCAGGGAGGAAACTCAGAATTTGGTGATGTCCATGGGCTCCAGACTACAGTCATTGACTGCAAAGGATTTTCATCCAAGTATTAAAATTGTGCTTATATTTATAATTATGTCATTTTGTCCAAATACACTGAACAAAATTATAAACGCAACACTTTTGTTTTTGCCCCCATTTTTCATAAGCTAAACTCCAAGATCTAAGACTTTTTCTATGTACACAAAAGGCCTATTTCTCTCAAATATTGTTCACAAATCTGTCTAATGCGTTTATAATTTTGTTCAGTGTACTATTGAGCCCCTGAAAATGTTGGTACTTTGCTTAAGATGGCTGTAACTCCTAAATGGTAAATGTCATATTGTTGTGTAACCTCTTAAAATAAAGCTACTTCAATCACATCTTGATTGTTTTATTTCAAATCCATTGCAGTGGTGTATAAAGGCAAAAGCACAAAAACTCAGTCAGTGTCCGAATACTTCCGGACCTGACTGTATGTGTATTTTAAGTAGTCTGTTACACTGTTATGAATAATGATTTACATTACAAGCTATCAGAATTTAATCTTACTTTTTGGCCATATACTGTAAATATAAGCAAATGCACCAAATTGCATTTTTTTCCCCTCTCAATTTGGCCTTTGAATGAAATGGTGTTTTTCTCTCCTTGAGTCTTAACTCCATTCTCCTGTATCATACTATATGGGTTGATTTTTTAAATATTTTCATGTCCAGTATAAACTGACGCAACAGGGTGGACACGTTATGTTTTATGCTATGAAATAAATTGGTTACCAACTTATTTAATAGTGTAAAACATAACATGTCCACCCTGTAACACTTTAGTTTAGGGACGAATGCCCACTATTAACTAGTTGCTTAAAAGCATGCCTTTAATAAAAAACTTTTTGAATTTGAAGATCAAGGTAAATTGTACTTAATTTGTCTTCCGGGAAACATGCAAGTATCTTCTGTTGCTTCCGAAGGGCAGTACTAAATGGAAAAAGAAAAAAGAAAAATTTGAACATCTTCATCCTGTTCAAAAGTGTTCACCCCCCGGCTCTTAATGCATCGTGTTTCCTTTTGGAGCATCAGTGAATGTTTGAACCTTTTTTAATAGTTGCGTTTGAGTCCCTCAATTGTCCTCAGTGTGAAAAGATGGATCTCAACATCATACAGTCACTGCTGGAAAGGGTTCAAATATGTAAAAGATGCTGGAAAACTGAAGAACCTGCAGGACACAGAGGATTTTTCTGAGGAACAGTGCTCAGTTTAACTGTTCAGAACAAACAATGGACTCATGAACAACCATCACAAAACAAAAAAACTCTGGTAGATCATCCAGGTAACCACACACAGTATTAAGAACCAAGGGTTCCCAAACTTTTGAAGGGGGTTATTTTAATAGTTTTTTTTTTTTTTTGTCTTGTGGACTATATGTAAACATATTTTATATAAAATATACTCAGGACAACACTACATAAAAAATAACATGCATTTTGTATGATCTCTCTTATTTTGTTAAAATTATTCACATTTTCACAGATTCTGCAAGGGGTTCCCAAACTTCGGCATGCCACTGTAATTCTGTACAAACTATTTTCTATCAAACCTACACCTAAACCATCCCCTTACAGAAAACTGTGTGCATTTTAAGATTTTCTTTTAAACACATATTGCATACATTGTTTTCTTTTGTGTATTCTGACATCTCAAAGTGTTCAGTGCAACGAACACTTGTTCGATGAACATTGATAGCCTACTTGCTCCAGTAAAATCAGTGGTTCAAGCTATTACAAACAAACTCCCATTTACCACCAATGGGTCAAATATAATCATGAAAAGTCTGATTGCATTTTAGAGGAAGCTATCTTAAAGCAGTCACCACTGAGGTGACCCAACGGTTTAAAAGCTCAGAGCACTAAAAAGACAATTCAGTAACGTGCTCATAATTTGTAAACAGTACAAAAACCCCTTGACGTCTGCGGCTCTGATGCCAACAATTACTATTTTGAAACTAAATAGAGAGTCTGAAACTCTTTGCCTCTCTATCTCAGAATATTTATTATTTTAATGTATTTTTATTTGATGTATTTTTTGTACTTCTATTGATTCCTGCTCCTTGTGTTGTTGTTGTTCTTCTTCTTCTTCTTCTTTTCCCCCCTCACTGTTGCTGTTAGTGGTGTATAATAATTATTATTTATGTTGATTATTTGTATTATTTTTTAGTGGATATGCCTTATGTTGCTGGGTGTTCCCTGTATTGTTGTGTACAATTTGCAATTAAAAAAAAAAAAATACTATTTTAAACATTTGGTCTCTGTCCCTTTAAGAAACGCCGTCGCAGCGTCACGCAAATGCGTCGGTTCTGCTCTCATCAGCAGCAGCATCCGTCCATCAGCGCAATGACGCCGCACGCATCACTGGCCCTAGCGCAGGGCACCGCCAACATCCATGAACAAACTTCACTGGGATACTACTGGGAAGAGCAGAGGATGTAAGTGACGTTCATCCCGGTTCACTCTTCTCTGTCATGAATTATTTCGACTCACAGCTGTTTCAGAAACTATGACAGGTGCTTAATGTTCATCCTCAATCATAACCATTTGTGCATCATGTGTAACTGCGTCTCTCAGCATCCTACACTTTCTATAGACTAGACGTATTATGTCATTTAGTTTTACGCTGAACAAAGTCACCGACGCACTGTTGCCGCGCCGCGCTTCAGTCTCGGATACGGTTACATAAGACAGCTTGCGCCCTTTACTACACAGGGACGATTTACCTGCAACATATGGAGGGTGGTGACGGCATGGCCCGCTCCCATCATGGGTCGTGTAACCATGGCAGTTATGCAACTACAAAAATCTCTGATTTTTCTAAACAAAAATGTAGTCTTGTGCTATACTGCAGTACAACCCTGTGAGGCAGAAATTAATCAGGGATATGTCCCAGATATTTAAAATATGGGGGCAAAAATAATTATTTAATGTCTCCTCAAAATTTTGGATGAGAAAACAAATTCATAGTACAAAAATAAAACAACGCCCATATTACAGAGTATACACTCTAAAAAATGCTGGGTTAAATACAACCCAGTGCTGGGTAAAATAGGGATAAACCCAGATATTGGGTTGTTTTGACCCAGCGGTTCGATTAAATGTTTAACCCAACCTTCTGGGTAGTAACCCGACCTCTGGGTCAAAACAACCCAATTGCTGGGTTTGTCCCTATTTTACCCAGCACTGGGTTGTCTTTAACCCAGCATTTTTTAGAGTGTAACATTAAAAAGTGAATAAATCACTGTTTTTTCTAAAGTAACACTGTCCAACAGCGACACCCGCAGGTAAAGTTACAGCGGAGGCTTGCCTCCCCTGAGCCCATTGACTATTAACAGAGACCCCATAGCGTGCCGATCCAGTTCGCGATGGCATTAATGGGAAGACTAATTAAAAAAGTAAGTAAACAACTCACACACTTAGATATAACCACTTTGTTACGTCAAAATAAGATAACCGATGATCTGAAACATTCAAAAATAGTTCAAAGTTAGCTATTAAACAATAGTTGAACATAAGTTCACAAATAAAATATATTGTTTAAATGATACTGCTGTGAGTTATTATTTTAATAAATGTAAAATGCTTAAAATCTCTAACTTGATTAGATTAATACATGGCTAAAAATATAAAGTAGAATTGTTTTTTTTGTTTGTTTTTTTATAGTGTAAGTAATGTTTATATGTTTATTTAACCAAGAAAATGTGACTGGGACATGAATTTACATTTGATAAAAAAAAAAAAAAAAAGCTCATTTCCGAACACCACTTTTGACCGCGAAGACCATGAGTGAGATTCACAAATAAAGACCGCACAAGGGTTAAATAATATTAACAGATACAACATTTGATTTTAATAATGCATTAGTAAATGTTGAAAATAACATGATCTAAGATTAATAAATGCTTTAGTAGTATTTTTCATTGATAGTTCATGTTAACTAATGTATTTAACTAATGCTAACAAATGGTAGCTTATTGTACAGTGTTACCAAAGTTTTATATGGTTAAGAAAATAAAAAATAAATAATAGAAAATAAAAAAGTAAAAATGCTGAAAATGAAATCAAGTGAGCAAATATTGCCCCTTAAATAGTTTCTTTCTGACACCAATAATGTGTCTAGTGAAAATGTGTCTATTTTATTTATTTATTTTTTTTTTTCAAATTTAATGTGTATTTACATTACACCTTATATTATCATTAAAACAATTTAGGTTCAAATGTAAATTGAACATGACTTTGGATTTGAGATGTTCCAAAGAATATTTGAGCATCTGTACGATCAGAATCACAAATTTACTTTGATTAGTCATTTAGAAATTGTGCCAAAATATTTCATATTTCTATAGAGATTATAGCATTTAGCCTAGATTTATTTTCAAAATTCTGAAATGTCCTCTACATTTCAAGGTTCATAACATCCATAACAGGTCCATAGTAACATAAGAACTGCTGTAATACAGTGTTCCGAGATTGTTCAGAGAAATACAGACTAGAACAGAGATGAAAGTTAGCAATAGGGAGATTTTTGTGTCTTGAAAGTTGCAGTGATTTTGACTGTTCAGGCCGGCTTTGGGACATAAGGATTCCAAGTCTCAGTGCTTATATAACACCAGCAGCTCCAGATATTGTGTGTGTCTCTGTTCATGTTACTTGTAGCACAGACATTCTGTGATGTCCTGAACTGAACCCTGTTGTCTGACAGATGCTTTCGGGGGCTAAATATACTGACAGCCAACTCTAATATCATACACGCTTTGCTTGTTTATTGTGGAAGCAATGTTTTTTTCACTGATGACAGTGCAGACTCAAATCAGAACTGGGTCATGCTCGAAAAAGCCTTTTTTTATCAACACCTTACAGACAACTGAGGAGATTCTTAGACAGTTAGGATTATATGCTGAACACTTTCATTAAATATGCATTATAAACTAGCAAAATATAAATCCTACGCACTATCCACAAGTCTGGATAATAACAAAAATATTTAAATGACGTTTCGGTCAATTGACCTTCCTCAGGCTTACACAATATGCAAAGTGCAAGCATATTTGAGAACTAGTAATCTAGAGTGCAATCAGTTTTGGAAATAAAAATTACCATGCCTCCAATTAGAAAAAAAAACAAAATAATGTATCAAATATGCATTTAAATAATGTAGCAGCGCATGAATCGATAGTTCACACTAGCTTTGTCATGGCAGCCAGTGTTACGTCAGTCACACCCACACACTCTTCATGCTCCGGAGAGACAATCAATGTTTCTGTGAGTGTGTGAATAGCTCAGTTCAAAGTGTAAAAGAATCCATCAGCTGTACTGTATATGTGTGTGTGTGTGTGTGTGTGTGTGTGTGTGGACCTGGTATTTATCACATTATGGGGACCAAATGTCCCCACAAGGATAGTAATGCTAGTAAATTTTGACCTTGTGGGGACATTTTTAGGTCCCCATGAGGAAACAAGCTTATAAATCATACAGAATTAGTTTTTTTGAGAAAGTAAAAATGCACAAAGTTTCCTGTAAGGGGTAGGTTTAGGGGTAGGGTTGGTTTAGGGCAATAGCACATACAGTTTGTACAGTATAAAAACCATTACGCCTATGGGATGTCCCCATAAAACATGGAAACACAACATGTGTGTGTGTGTGTGTGTGTGTGTGTGTGTGTGTGTGTGTGTGTGTGTGTGTGTCTTTGTCTAGTTAATTTTGTTTATTGCTCTGAATGCTTGGTTTACATAAGCCTTTATTTTCTTGTGTGTCATGTGGCATCCAGAATGAAATGCTCTCTGTTGGATTCTGTTCAGCATCTGATATTCTAATATTGTCTGGCATGTGTCTTTTTTGATTTGGTATTTTAATGGGATGCAAGGTTACAGAGTCTCCAAATAAACACGCTTTTGTTTGTGGCTATCAAATGGCCAACCAGCAAATTATACTCACTCACCCTTGTGTTATTATAAACCCTTGTCACTTTTTCCTGGAGAACACAAAAGGATTTTACCGGAATCTTTACGCTGCTCTTTTCCATACAATGAGAGTGAATGGGGACTAATGTGGTCAAGTTTCAAAAGTGATGAAAAGCACCATAAAAGTGATCTATGCACTATGCTCCAACTCTCTTCTGAAGTCATGGCTTTGCTCGTTTTTAGTCTGTTCTTCACACAAAGCTATCATATGACTTCAGAATGTCACATGACTTGGAATGTAGCACACAAATCATATGGACCACTTTTAAGATACTTTTATTTATTTATTCCTTTATTTATTTATTGTCTTTTATATGCTTTGCTGCCCCTGTCCCGTTTACTTACATTGTTTGGAAAATAACAGTGTGAACATTCTTATTTTGGGGCAATGAAAAATACCGAAACAATGCATATTCATATACATTGACCTGAATATACCTCTTCTATGGTGCACATATTTTTAGTTTATGAATTGCAGTATTTTTAATGGGGGGAACAAAGTTAACAGTCCTGATATGATAATGAAATAAAACCTACAAGAAAACGTCATTCGTCAGTAGTCTGGCTTAATTTTTATAGTGTCTTAGAAAAATATACACTACAATTTTACAATTAAAAGTTTGAGTTTGATCAAAAGTAGCAGTAAAGACATACAAAGTTACAAAAGATTTATGTTTTAAATAAATGCTTTTCTTTTAAACTTTCTCATCATCCAAGAATCTTGAGAAAAAAAAACAGTTTCTGCAAAACATATGAACTGTATTCAACAAATACTGTATAATGATAAAGGTTTCTTGAGCAGTAAATCAGCATATGATTTCTAAAGGACCATGTGGCACTGAAGACTGGAGTAATGATGCTTAAAGTGCCCCTATTATGGGAAATGAAAGGTTCATATTTTGGTTTTGGGAGTCCAAACAACAGGTTGACATGCATCAAAGGTCAAAAAACACTTTCATTGTCTTATAATATGCATTTATTTTTACCTTACTTGCTCAACGTCAACGACTCCCAAACGATTCGCTCAACGATTCATTTTTCCAAACCCCTCCTTTGCGTGACGCTAATCTGTGGTGATTGGTCCGATTGGTCTCATTTACATTTCATCTCGCCTGTAATGCCTGATAAAGCAGCGTTTGTGAGCGCAGTGCTGCTTTGTGTACAGCGTTACCGGGGAAACCGCTATTTTTACAGCTCCAAAAGCGGCACCTAGTGGCAAAGAATGCATTTGCATTTTAATTCAGACCAACGCGAAAAGACCAACAAGTGGGTGGGCAATATGCTAATGTTTTATGTTCACGTCAACATGAACCGGCTTGGGATTCGTTTTAAAAACGACTCGTTTCAATTATTCAGAGTCGACTCTTTCTTTTGAGAGACATTGGGCCTCATTTACGAAACGAACCTACGACAGAAAATTGAGTGTACGGTCGTTTCAACGCAAAACTTGGAATTTATCCATCATGGGAAGTTAA